AATTAGCAAAATTATTGTCTTCATCTAAGCCTTCAACTTGTATGTTAGATCCAGTTCCAACCAGGTTATTTAAGGAGGTATTCCCTTTGATCTCCTCCTCCATTTTAGATGTGATTAATCTATCTCTGTTACAGGGATATGTACCTAAAGCTTTTAAGGTTGCTGTAATTAAACCTCTGCTTAAGAAACCGTCTCTTGACCCAGATGACTTGGTCAATTATAGACCTATATCCAATCTTCCTTTCTTATCCAAAATTCTTGAGAAAGTAGTTGCCAAACAAGTTTGCGATCACTTACACCATAATGAACTTTTTGAAGAGTTTCAGTCTGGCTTTAGAGCTCATCATAGCACTGAAACAGCTCTGGTGAAAGTCACTAATGATATTCTCATGGCCTCAGATAATGGACTTGTATCTGTGCTCGTCCTGTTGGATCTTAGTGCTGCATTTGATACAGTTGACCATAATATTCTTTTAGAAAGACTTGAATATTTTGTTGGAATTAAAGGAACAGCACTAGACTGGTTTAAATCTTATCTATCTGATCGAATTCAGTTTGTTCATGTTAATGATAAATCTTCAACATTCTCAAAGGTTACCTGTGGAGTACCACAGGGATCAGTGCTAGGACCAATTCTCTTTACTTTATACATGCTCCCAATTGGTAGAATTATTAGACAGCATTGGATTAATTTCCACTGTTATGCTGATGATACCCAGCTATATCTGTCTATAAATCCAGATGAAGCTAACCCATTACATAGATTACAGGCATGTTTTGAAGACATAAAAACCTGGATGACTCTTAACTTTCTGCTTCTGAATGCAGACAAAACAGAAGTTATAGTCTTTGGACCAGAGTCTCTGAAAAAGAAGTTGATTAGTCAGTCACTTCATTTTGATGGGATTAAACTGATTTCAGATAATAAAGTAAAAAATCTTGGTGTTATTTTTGATCAGGACCTGTCATTTAAATCCCATATCAAAGAGGTTTCTAGAATTTCCTTCTTTCATCTGAGGAACATTGCAAAAATTAGAAATCTCCTGTCCAGGGGTGATGCTGAGAAACTAGTCCATGCATTTGTTACTTCAAGGCTGGACTATTGTAATTCTTTACTATCAGGAAGTCCACAAACTATAGTTAAAAGCCTTCAGCTGATCCAAAATGCTGCAGCCAGAGTTCTGATGAAAATTAAAAAGCGAGATCACATCTCTCCTATCCTGGCTTCTCTTCATTGGCTTCCTGTTAAATCAAGAATTGAATTTAAAATCCTCCTTCTCACATATAAAGCCTTAAATGGCCAAGCTCCATCTGATATCAGAGATCTGATTGTTCCTTATGTTCCTAACAGAGCACTTCGCTCTAAATCTGCAGGTTTACTAGTGGTTACTAGAATTTCTAAAATTAGAATGGGAGGCAGATCTTTTAGTTATCAGGCTCCTCTCCTGTGAAACCAACTACCAATTTTAGTCCGTGAGGCAGACACCCTGTCTACTCTTAAGACTAGGCTTAAAACTTTCCTTTTTGATAAAGCTTATAGTTAGGGTGGCTCAGGTTATCCTGAGCTATCTCTATAGTTATGCTGCTATAGGCTTAGACTTCTGGAGGACATAGAGACCCCCATTTCATCATTCTGCTTCATTCTCTCTCTATTTTCCCACTCTGCAGAATATGTTAGTTCAATCTCTAACGTTATGCTCTATCTGCTTTTCCTCAGAGTAGCTTTGCCTCGTCTGTTCCTGTTTGGCTGTGACGTCATCCTGGAAAGAAACATCAGCTGTGCTGCTTCCATCAACACCCTTGTTTATAGATATTGGAGATCGGCCTGTTTTCCAGTGTCCTGTTTCTCTGACTGTGACTGGCTGGATGTGCTCTCTTCGTCCTCTGGCATGGGAGCTGGCTCGGAGCTTGTCTGCCTGGCTGTGTGTTTCCTGGACGGGGCCGCCTTTAATAGCTGCTTTTTGTGTCTCTGCTTCTGTCTCCTTGAACCCCAGTCGGCCTCAGCAGATGGCTGCTCACACTGAGCCTGGTTCTGCTGGAGGTTTCTTCCTGTTAAAAGGGAGTTTTTCCTCTCCACTGTCGCTACAAGCATGCTTAGTGTGAGGGATTGTATTTGAGTCAATGAGTCATTGCAATCAACTGGTTTTCCTTAGATAGAAAACTTTGTATCAATTTGACTGTATGATCTGGTTGAACTGTAAAGTGCCTTGAGATGACATGTGTTGTGAATTTGGCGCTATATAAATAAACTGAATTGAATTGAATTAGGGTTATGGCAAGGAGGCCTTTCAGGTGGAAACATGAAAAAGGCTAGTCTGCAAATATAACAAGAGTTTTACTGTCATAATGCCTATGGAGATTTTATTTTATAGATTACTCCTGACACATCTAAATAAAATCAGGGCTTTCTATTTTAAATTAATGCCACTTTTGCAACATTTGCTTATTTTCTGTCTTCACCAATCACAGACAAACAATGTAGTTTTAGACCTAAACCTTTTATGCATAATTGTTAAATGTAATTTTATAAATAAATGATACCACCAGATGGTACCAAGTGATTGCTTTGGATTTGTTCCTCATGATCTCACAAATGAAAACTGTGTGTTTACGATGATTACTCCAAATGCTTCCAGTGGTGGGCCTCCAAAAAATGTTAGGTTATAAACTGACATTATCTTCAGGACTTTCTCAAAACGTTACTAGCAAAGTAGTGTCAGTCTATGTAAATGTCTACTTTTAAAGACTGAGCCATCCAGGGCAGGATGAATCCAAAAAGCAACAAAACGTTTTTAGATATAAGAAATTAAGTCCATGTTTTTTTGTTGTTTATTCCAAACTTTTTGGGTTTTATCTCTATTTCTGTTATTGACCAAATAGAAATAATGCTGGTAACCATATTATTTCTTAAAATATGAATTTTTTTGTCTGTTTTGACATTAGACGGTGACCTAAAAATGTTTCTGGGTCTTTTTATGCAGCAGTTTCGGTCTGAGACAAAAGAGTGAAACCAGATCTGGATCCTTTGTCCAACTTTGAAAAGGCTAAAAGGCTTCCCACTACAGTGGGATCATCCAATTACACCAGCATGTTTCTTCTTTTAGTTATACAAATATTCTGACTCTGTCTTTTTTTTTTAAGTCAAATGTGGTTTAGCAGTTTCAAAATGACATCTGATAACAAATATTAATGTTTTTTTATCTATTCTATAAACTGCTGGAAGGGGGTTGGTTTTAATACATGAGAAAAGCACTTTTACTGCAAAAATTATCTAAAAATGTGAGAAAATTTCTTAAGATACAAATATTTGTAAGTATTTACCCTTAATTTTAGAATGTAAATAACATGATCTGACATGTAATGAGTATTTTTACACTTAAATAAGATAATTGCATATTATGCACTTGAAAAAAGAGACTGAGGTTGATTTTTCTTGTTTTTAATGTAAATTGTCTTATTCCATTGGCAAAATGTCTGTCTAATTTAAAAACATTTTGAAAAAAACTGAATTATCATGCAATTCTTTGCAGAGTTGTACGTGTTTGTTTACAACCACAATTTTCACACTCGTCTAAATTAGTTTTGCTGTCCTGTCATGTTAAGATTTAAAAACTGCTTTATCATTTTGTTTTTAAATAGTACAATAAACCATAAAAATATCCCCAGACCCATGTTCTTGCCTAATTGTAAAAGCTAATGCGAGGCAATTGTGTTACGTTCAAATAAGAGCAGCAGTTAATATTTTTGCCAACATGCAAAAAAAAAACACCACAAGGTTCAAAGCGAACATTTGCACACCCCATCAAGACTGTGGAACATGGTGGAGGCAGAACCATGCTGTGGGGATGCTATCATTCAGTAGGTTGAATTTTTAGTTTTAATGTAATATAATAAGAAAGGTTGAAGGTATAGTAATAGGGTTCGGTATTTTGGCCAAAGTCCTGAATCCATTCGATTTAGATTCATACAGTTCTAAATCGATTCAACTCGATTCAATCTGTTTTTACAATAATGAATAATGGATCAACTGTGTTTCAAAATGCTCATGTCTGTTATTTTTTCATGTCGTATTAAACACAAATTGCAAACTTGTAAATCAGACAGTTTAAACTTAAGATGTGAACAAAACTTTCTTAGAAGAGTAAACTTGTTTGTGAAAAGTGAAAAAGTGAAGCCTCACACGCGCAAGCAGACGTGACACAGCGGGGAAACAGCAGACATGCATGAGCTGCATAATCTTCTTTGCACAAACCGTATTTGCAGCATTGTCTGTAACAACTACAGGGTGTTTGCTGGAAGGCCCCCATTTGTTAATGTTTGCATAAAAAAAATTTGCAGCTGTCTGGCTCGAAGTAATCTTGTTGGACTGTAGCACGAGATGCGAGGCGCCACTCATTATCAGTGTAATGGGAAGTCACCTTGATGTCACATATCCAGCACATTATCTGTAGCTGTTTTAAATCCAAAATGGTTCCAGACATCAGACTTCAGTTGGGACAGCTTGCTGAGCGGTGTGTTACTTGGGTCGGCATTTGCACACTCATTTGAATGTAAACGTCAAGCGTGTCACTATAAAACTAATCGATCTCATTGCCTACACATCAATTTTGCAAAAATGTAAAGGAATCAATCCAAAATCGATTAAATCAATTGTTTTAGACAGTCTTATATAGTAATAGATATTTGAGGCATTTCTGTAGTAAAATATAAAATATTTTTGAAAGGATTCATTTGACTTAGTTTGAATAAAACATAAATAAATACCATAAGTTAAACTGTTTATTTATAATTTGGATCATTAATGATAAGTAATAAAAGGATGTAAGTCTTTCAAACAGAAAAACGTTGGTTAAGCAACAGATGTTGGAGAATCATCAGCAGCTGTTTGTGGCTCTAATTGGTTCATTAAGTTTGCAGAAAGCAGAGGCTGGAGTCTGTCAGTCAGAGCGGTTATTAATAGCTGAAATGAAGGGAGGAGAGTCAGAGCAGAGCCTCTCTGCTCCGTCATGAAACATTTCACAGGCTGAACTCTGAAACTTTGCTCTCTGATGATGGATAATGTTTCCGTTGTTAGAAGCTTTACTCTCACAGGGATAAATGAGACGATGGACTACAGAGGTGCAATCTTCTCGCTCTCTTTGGTGTATTACTGTGTGATTTTATTCTTAAATATCTCCCTGGTTGTCCTTATTGTGTGGGATGAAAACCTGCATGAACCCATGTATGTTTTACTGTGCTGTGTTTGCATTAACGCAGTTTATGGCACCACTGGTTTCTATCCTAAATTCCTGTTAGACCTGCTGTCGATTGCTCAGGAAATCTCCTACGAGTGGTGCCTCTTCCAAGCTTTTGTCATGTACTCCTTCGCCTGCTGCGAGCTGTCCATCCTGGCCGTCATGGCCTACGACAGGTACCTGGCCATCTGTCGCCCCCTGCACTACCGCTTGTTGATGACCAAGAGGAGGCTCTCTCAGCTGGTGAGTTTCTCCTGGCTAACTCCTTTCTGCATATTCTCCATCAGTATTCTGCTCACATCCAGACTGGAGCTGTGCAGCCTGAAGATTCAGAGACTCCTCTGTGTGAACTGGATCATCGTTCAGCTGGCCTGCCCAGGCAGCAACACCCTCTCAAACAGCATCGTCTCATATGCCACAATTTTCATCTATGTGTCTCATGGCTTTTTCATCATCTGGACTTACATGCACCTCATCAGAACGTGTGCAGCCTCCAAAGACGACAGGGTGAAGTTCATGCAGACGTGCTTGCCTCATTTGATCTCTCTGATCACTTTCCTCACTGTGATTGTGTTCGATTTGATGTATATGAGGTTCGGCTCTGCAGGTTTGCCTCAAAGCCTTCAAAACTTCATCGCCATAGAGTTTCTTGTCTTCCCCCCGATGATGAACCCTTTGATATATGGATTTAAATTGACCAAAATACGCAACAGGGTCCTGAGTTTGATTTATCTGAGAGGACGATGAAGAAGAGAAGGATTCAGTTTGTGTATTTATGGTGTCATTTGAAAGTTTTTTTCTTTACATCGTTAATATAAGCCATCCGGATTGTATATATGACACCTCAAATCTCTGTGCTACTCCCTTGTATTTTTTATTTGTTTTTTATTGTGTGTGATACATGTACACTTGCACCTTAATCCTTATTTATCTTGATTTACTGTATATATATAGTTTATTCTTAATGCACCTTTTTCCTCCTTGTTTGCACCTTCTTCTTTAACTTCTATGCCAATATGTGACCAGTAAATTTCTCAGCTGTGAGATCAATAAAGCTAATCTAATCTAATCTAATCTAATCTAATTTGTGCTGAAGATTTGTAGTCAACACACGTAGGATGTTTGTCACAAAATAATGTAAAAAGTGACCTAATGAAGATTTCTGGGCTTAATAACAGAGTAAACTAATAAATGGACAACAACCACGAGGCGTAAAGGTAAAAGTCCTGACTTTTTCTTTGTTTCTGTGTGTTTTTCTTATAAATTAGTCGTTAAAATTTTGCCATATTAACTGTGTTCACATTAATGTTCTCTTTGCATTTCTTAGGGAACAAACTACAGCTGCTGAGGTTCAATACCTTTCAAAATAATGCATAATTCTTCCACCCCTTAAAAACTTTTTTGTTTTAAACTTGATTGAGAAAAATCAATGCCTTATAACTGAAGTGGAAGAAAAAAAAAAATCGAAATAAGGTTTCTGTGTTCATTTTTCCAGCCTTTACTTGGTAGAACCATCTTTTCCTGCAGCTGTGAGCGCTTTGGGGTACAATTATTCAGACAAACTAAAATTCTGACCTTTTTGACAGAGATCATCTGCGAACATCATTTGTTCTTTTAAATCTTTGCAAAATCCCTTAACTAAAGCTCATTTTAGCACCTTGTGATTAGCTGTATTAATTTGCCTTGTGGCTTAACAAATACTCATTAATCTGATGTGATCGGAGCAAAGAATAAATATTGAATTTTCTTTCTTTAATCCAACATTCATGTCCATTAATGCCAGATGTTTAAGATGTAAGGCGGACTTGTCAGGAGTTGAATCTGTTACGCTCAGAGAAAATTTAGACATGAGGAAACACTTTTAAGGGGTAAAAGCGTTAAAGGGGCTTGTTAACTCTATGTGCTTCATTTTTATAAAAAGTGAATCCTTTTTGTGTCGTTCTACAGCTTTGCAATGGTGTATTTCTTTGTGTTGGTGTTTTGCAGCAAAAAATACCAATAAGATACACTGAGCAAAATGTTCAAAATGTAAAGGGGTGTGAGTATTTTAGCAGGGTGCCGTATTTGTGTTTAATTTGAGTAAAAAAAAAAAATTGGTTCTCTTTTATCCTAATTTTATCTGCGATATGAAGATCAACTTCATCATTTCTTGATACTGCTGTGAGGCCGTCAATCCAGGTTAGGTCTCGTTAGTGAAAATTCAAAGTAATACCAGTATTTAGAATTAAAACAAATTAATTCTTTATTAATAATCTACTGTACTGAGCCTTTTCAGCTTTTAAATCTTTGGAAATAATCTATTTGGGGATAAAATCACATTTCCTGTTTGTCAAAGTCTCTGTTTTTGTATGATTCCATTAATTCAGATAAAGCAACCTAAGGAGAAAATCCACGTTTGTGTGAAGGGCTTTTATTTACTAAATGCTTAAAGATTTGTGATTGATATTTTGAAATCATAAATACATCATTAATGAACATGATTCTTCAAGGTTACAGGAATTTTAGCTGAGATGAATTAGTTCAGCAGTTGACTGTGTCACTAATCTTGATGCTGTCATCAATGTTTGCATTTTTCACCTAATTTTGAAAAAAAAAACAAAAAAAACAAAACATACATCTGTCAGTAATTAATATTAGATGTTTTACAACCTCTAATTGACAGGGTTTAGGAGTTAAATATGTAACTGATACACATAGATCGGGTAAAAGGTCATCAAACTTGACCGTTACATCTATAATTATCTCAGATAAAAGTTAATAGCATTAAAAACTGAAAGAAAATGATTGTATTATTGAGTAAATTATCTTCCCCTCTCTCTTTTTTGCAAGTCAATTCGTTTATTATTTCAACCTTTTACCCTTATAGCTTAACTATTGCATTTAAAAAATGTACTTATATAAAAGCAAAGTGGAGTTAAAACATCAGATTTCGGTGTAAAACTAAATTTTTTCTTGCTTGGAGGTAAAGTTCAGCCAGTGTGACTCTGCAGAGAAGAAATGTGATTCAGCACACAGGGCAGCTTTGTTACAGTGTTATTAAACTGACATTCAGAGTTAAAACCTGAATGCAATATTTTATTGAAGTTATACTCATGTTTTATAAGACATTATGATATTTATTATGGTTTTATATTTACAACAGAAGTCAAAACGGCTGAGAAACAGACGGTACCTGAAGGCAGCACAGGTAACCCACTCTACTATATATAAAGTCACAATATTAAAATATCAAACGTCTGATTAAAAGTTAAACATATCTTTTATTAATCCCACATTTCATTTTTTGGTCTTTTTTTAAATCTTTAATCTTTTACTGAATAGATTTTAAGATTCTCTTATTAACTTATAAAGTCCTAAATGGATTAGCTCCTCCTTATCTTAGAGACCTTTTAAAATTCCAGTCTGTGTCGAGAAGTCTACGTTCAAATAATCAACTATTACTGACAGTTCCTCGGACTGGAAGAGGAAAGGAGATCGGGCCTTCTCTGTTGTTGCTCCATTTCTGTAGAGTCATTTACCTCTATAAATTAAATCCGCCCACAGCCTGGATCATTTTAAATCGCTTCTTAAAGCTTATTTTTACACTCACCGGCCACTTTATTAGGTACCCCATGCTAGTAACGGGTTGGACCCCCTTTTGCCTTCAGAACTGCCTCAATTCTTCGTGGCATAGATTCAACAAGGTGCTGGAAGCATTCCTCAGGGAGTTTGGTCCATATTGACATGATGGCATCACACAGTTGCCGCAGATTTGTCGGCTGCACATCCATGATGCGAATCTCCCGTTCCACCACATCCCAAAGATGCTATATTGGATTGAGATCTGGTGACTGTGGAGGCCATTTGAGTACAGTGAACTCATTGTCATGTTCAAGAAACCAGTCTGAGATGATTCCAGCTTTATGACATGGCGCATTATCCTGCTGAAAGTAGCCATCAGAAGTTGGGTACATTGTGGTCATAAAGGGATGGACATGGTCAGCAACAATACTCAGGTAGGCTGTGGCGGTGCAACAATGCTCAATTGGTACCAAGGGGCCCAAAGAGTGCCAAGAAAATATTCCCCACACCATGACACCACCACCACCAGCCTGAACCGTTGATACAAGGCAGGATGGATCCATGCTTTCATGTTGTAGACGCCAAATTCTGACCCTAGCATCCGAATGTCGCAGCAGAAATCGAGACTCATCAGACCAGGCAACGTTTTTCCAATCTTCTATTGTCCAATTTCGATGAGCTTGTGCAAATTGTAGCCTCAGTTTCCTGTTCTTAGCTGAAAGGAGGGGCACCCGGTGTGGTCTTCTGCTGCTGTAGCCCATCTGCCTCAAAGTTCAACGTACTGTGCGTTCAGAGATGCTCTTCTGCCCACCTTGGTTGTAACGGGTGGTTATTTGAGTCACTGTTGCCCTTCTATCAGCTCTGACCTCTGGCATCAACAAGGCATTTCCGCCCACAGAACTGCCGCTCACTGGATGTTTTTTCTTTTTCGGACCATTCTCTGTAAACCCTAGAGATGGTTGTGCGTGAAAATCCCAGTAGATCAGCAGTTTCTGAAATACTCAGACCAGCCCTTCTGGCACCAACAATCATGCCACGTTCAAAGTCACTCAAATCTCCTTTCTTCCCCATACTGATGCTCGGTTTGAACTGCAGGAGATTGTCTTGACCATGTCTACATGCCTAAATGCACTGAGTTGCCGCCATGTGATTGGCTGCTTAGAAATTAAGTGTTAACGAGCAGTTGGACAGGTGTACCTAATAAAGTGGCCGGTGAGTGTATTCTTCGGCTTTTCATTGAAGCAGTGTTTAACATTCTGTTTTGTTAATTGATGTTGTCTTTCCTGTAAAGCACTTTGGTGCAGTATAATACCTCTTTTAAAGTGCTATATAAATAAATTTGACATATACATTTAACTTTGTTTTCATTGGCTGTGAGTGAAAACCACCCTATTCAATTTAACAGAATAAAACCTGAATCAGTGGGTCAGAACTCTGTTAGATCAACAATCCAAAATGTAGAATATTGCACAGCTGCAAACCTACCAAGGAATACAAATTCATCTGAGCTGGCTGGTGTTCTGGTTCTGTTTAAGTTTTCAGTTTCACTTAGATCCATGTTTTCTTTCTTTTCTAGTTTTATTACTATTTTGTGGTGTTTTCTGGATGTATTTTAGTTCTTAGATATTTCTTGATTGCCGTCTTGTGTTTGTCTCCTTTTCCCTTGCTCCTTCTAGATGCTTCCATCCACGCCTGTTCCTTACCAAGTCATTAGTTCAGACTTTGTTCCGTCTCCTATATATACACTACCTCTGCAGTTCCTAGGTGCTGGCTCCTTGTCTTTTCCTGGCTTCCCAAGTGAGTTTTTCCCTGAAGTAGTCTGGTTTTTGGTTCCTTGTTTTAGATTTTTGCCTCAAATATTTCATTAAATCTGCAAGAACTCACCTCTGCCTCCTCACTTCTGCATTTGGGTCCTCAAAGCCTCAACCCAACTCTGACAGCTACAAGGAGAGCGTTAACCACGGTGGGAGCGGAAGAGAGCGGGAGGCTTTAGGTCCTCAAGAGGCTGCAAAAACTCAAATTCTAGATTGTTAAAAACAGTTATTTCCGTCCTTTCCTATTCAGAGAAGCAGCTATCTGAGCAATAGATGCTGTTTTCTCACTAAGACTAAAACTGAACTTGATGTTCCAATCGAAATGGTTATGCTCAGTATAAAATTAACATAATCTTTCTAACCGTGAAGCATGGTAGTGGCTGTGTCATGCTGTGTGGGTGATTTTCTTTAGTAAAGGTTGGTCAGACAGGGCAGGAGGATGAATGGAGATAAAGTAAGAAGAGGCTGGAGTGGCAGCATGACAGAGAAACTAAACAATAAACCAGAGACACA